TTTATGTTTTAGAGTTGTTAATGAATTTATTTATACATTAATAATTTTGCATAAATTATTAGCGCTTTGGTTGATAAAAGCATCGTTTTGCTTTGCGTATTACACGCTTAAAGCAAAATAAAGTCATGTGCATTGCATTGCGCTTTGATAACAGTAACTAAATTTTACCAATATCTCAAGATAATATAATTTATAAAAAGAAAAAAAACTATTTGAGTTTCTTGCTTGACTCAATATGCCTTTGATCAATTTTGAATACACATTTTAAGTAGAAAAAATCTCAATTCTCTAAATGAGATTTTATCTTTTGTATGAGCTAAAGAAAGAAAAAGAATTATGATGTGATGTTCAATAATTTGGTTTATGAAACATCAGTCATAAGGACTAATAAACATTAATATAGGTGATTAGCTAACGTAGATCCCTATCAAAGAAAAACAAAAGCCTGGTCTCAAAGGCAATCTATGGTGCAACTAGTACAAGAAGAACGGCCAAATAAAAAAGAATATCTAAAACTACATAAAAAAATCCTAAAACTATATTTTGAAAAAAGATACTCAAACAAACATGTTTGCTTGTGGAATTAGAACCAACTTAGAAGAAACAAACAACCTTAGAAATTTCCTCAACTCCTTAGAAAAATCTTTCGAGGCAAGCACTCTCGCTCAAAATGAAATCACTCTAACTCCATGTTTTTAATGCCTCAAATAATTCTCAAACATGAATCCACACACCACATGCCAAATCTTATAAATTTTTTTCAAATGTACAAACTCTGCCCCAATAATAAAAATATTAAAGTAGCAAATATTTGCCTAATAATTGTACCAGGTTAAGAAGATATTTCCTATTTCTCTCACATTTACCTTCAATAATGTTCTACATATCTCTCACCTTATAATAAATTTTCTACCAATCTATAAAATCACTCAACAATATAACTATAAGGCACATTATTTATTTATAATTATGTATTTCCAGATCTCACCAAAGAGAAGACGACTGGGCCAGCTAGAGAAAAAGGATTGGTTATACTTTCTTAACAGCAAGAATCACTTGTTAATTTTCTTTCATCTCCACTTTGAATACAAAAATCATTTAGGAACAGCATGATATACTAAGTCATTTCTCTTTTAAAACCGTACAATGTATGTTTTCTTCTCTTATTTTAAATGTTAACATTACCGAATTTCATTACAAGACTTATGAAATCGCAAAGCGTCATGCTTATTTTCTTGAAAGTGGTTCTAAACTATCTTCTTTATTTATGTTAATTCACTCCAATATTAGGGGACCTTAAAAAATTTCAAATATTTATGAAGCTAAATGATTTATTATCTTTAGTGATGATAGCACTCAAAAGTTTAATGCACACAAAAAAAAATTCGTTGAGATAATCTTGTGGTTATTTTAATTAGATTTTATCTTTCTTTTTCAATAAAGAAAATATCAACAAAAAAATTTTTTGTCCCGACACTCCAACAGAAATGAGGTGGTAGAAAGGAAAAAATACACGTATTCTAGAAGCCACTGCAAACTTTCTTTTCTAAAATCATATTTAAATATGATATTGGGTATATGCAGCTCTAATTGCCACATATCTAATCAACAAAATGTCGTCAAGAAAAAATCAAGTTCAAAAGAGCACAGAACTACCTTATGATTTTTTTTCCTACAAACAACTTCTCAAAAATCCCTCAAAAAATATTTAAGCGCATTCTTTATATCCACATCTACAAACAACATCGAGATAAGCTTGATCCTAGAGCACTCATATATTTTTATAGGTTATTCCTCCACTTAAAAAGAGTATTAAGTGCTATCATCCAACAACCAAAAAAGCTTCACTTCATAAGAACTCACATTTAATGAAAAATATAAATATATATATTTTTTTTCAATTAAGCTCACCTTAAGGGATAGAATGACCAATTAAAAGATAAGTATGATGAGATCAATTTCGTCCATCTTGAAATTCCAACCACACAAACTCTAATAGCTATTACCCAGTAAGTCCATACAAGGAGCAATAAGTCCAGCCAATATTTTCAAAGAGTTTAAGATTCCAAATTATCATCAGGTAATAATGATTAACCTATAGAGAAACATTCAACATTGTATCCCATTTCCTAGTACACATCTCTTCAAAATTTGTCTCAAAGACAAAGTCTCCCCCACAAACATTATCTCCAACTCTATTAAAATACTTCAAAACCTATTTGAGCCACTAAAAAATAAGAATTTAATTCGTAAAATGAGAAAAGATATTAAAAAATCACACTTGGGATGTCGTTGACTTACCAAAGAGGAAAAAACTATGAGATGAAAATATATTTCTTCAATAAAATACATCATTGATGGACACTTGAGCGATACAAAATAAGATTAATTACCAAAGGATGGCTCAATCCTAAAGAATTGACTATCAAGAAACATTCGCTCATGTTAAAAAAATAAATATAGTCTTGTATTTTAATTTTTCTTGCTGCTAGCTTTGAATGAGCCATGTAAAAATATGATGTGAATAAGGTTCTCTTATATAAAGACATTGAATAAGTTTATATGAATACTCCATAAATATTTAATAACTCTTTCACAAAAAAATAGGATATGCATGTTGAGAAAGCACTTTTACATGGACTATGCAACAACAGAAAACATAATGCTATTCATCTCCAATATTTATTTTTTTTTCTTAAAAAAATGAGGGCCTCATTAACTAAATATCGATCAAAGTGTTTAATATGAAGCAAAAGATTATCCAAGTAGGTTACTTCTCGAGCACAAAACAACCAAAAAAATAAAAAACTCAAAATTTTTAATAAAAAATAGCACAAAAAATTAGAGGTCGAGAGTGAACCATATGCACTGGGGGTGCAAATATATTATGGGGGTTCTGTCTAGAGGCAGAAGGTTCAAGAGCACGGTATGGCAAAAGCTATGAAAGAAATAGGGTACCAACAAAGTCAAAAAGATCATATCCTCTTAATTAAATACTCAAATGATGGAAAAATAATAATTCTAATTGTATAAATTGATGATGAAATTGTTATGATAGATGATAACGAAGGAAAAAAAATCACTTAGACATCACTTGCTGAAAAATTTAAAATCAATGAATTGAGAAAACTTAATCAAAATAAAAAATATTTATCTCTCAACAAAAATATATTATGGACCTACTAAGGGAAACAAAGATGACTGATTATAAACTATATAAAGGTGTAACCGAATTAATAAAAAACTAGATAAATGAAAAGGATACAAGAGTGGAAATCGAGTTATATCAAAATTAGGTTAAAAAATAATTTTTCTATCACATAAACGTCCTGACATTACCATTATAATAAGTCTCATAAATAAGTTTATTCACAAATCCAAAAAAACTCCACCTTCGAACTGCTTATACTCTTTAGTTGTCTTAAATCAAGACCAAGAAAAAAATTCTCTTTAAATAATATAATAATCTGCAAGTTAAAGGTTATATTGATGTTGGCAATGCGAGGTTATCCAATACTGCACACTTTTGATAAAAAATCTTATAACACCAAGTAGTAAAAAATAACACGTCGTTTCAAGATCCAGAGTTTAAATCTAATTTAAAGCAATAGCTGAAAAGTTTTGCATACTTTTATGCATTTAAATCATTTTAGAAGATTTAAAAAATAAATGAGCAGAGCTATGAAGATATGTTATAATAATAAATCTGTCATCAGAGCTTAGAATCCTACGCAACATGATTGTACCAAATATGTAAAACTGGATTGGCATTTTATAAAAGAAAAATTAGAAAATAAATTGATTCGCACTCCATATATCCCCATAGGAAAACAACATATTCGACTTAGCAACCGAACAATAAAAAATATTTTAATCAAACTTGAAATGTTAGATCTCTATTAGGTAGTATGAGAGGGAGCGTTTAAGGGCCATCGGATCAAGGGATAAGAAAAATCAAAGGCTACAAATTCATTACTTATAAGGAAATATTTTCCTTATGAATTCATATAAAAAAAGAAAAACAAGAGTCCATAATCCATAGATTGCTCCCTTAAGTATCAATCGGCCATCCTTAAATAAATTACATGGTGGAAAAACTAAGAGCGCTTTATTTTTGTTTTTTATAATAATTATTTATTTTATTTTTATCTCTATGTATTTTGTATATAAATACCAATGGAAAGAATGAACAATCCAAGCTTTTGTAGGAACTTCTTTTCTAAAAGAGTTGGTACAATTGCAAAACCCACTAGATTTTGAATGCCTTCAAAGATTACCCAAGCATTCAAAGAGTTGACACAATTGCAAAACCCACTAGATTTAAATGTATTCAAAGATTACCCAAGCATTTAAAGAGAGACTTCAATAAAAGTTCCTATTTTGATAGCCAAGATCAGATTTATGACGACATTAATACAAAATAAAATAAAAGGAAGTAATAACAAAGCCAACAATATATTTGATTAATGTCAGTCTGCATGGAGGATTTTCTCAGCATTATCATCACAAATGTGTGTCACCTGATGCAGTCCTAATTGTCATATTGTCTTTTGATTGACTTAAATGAGTGCAGCAACCTCAATAACAAGATGTCCAATGATAAATAGAGACAATGAATAGCATGGTTGTTGTCACTTGGATCCGACTTGTTAACATAGAGTAAAAGAATCAACATGAACATCAAAACTTCAGTTAGATTTTCAGATCAGTTGTGAACATCTCAAATTTCTAAAGATGTGAATAAGTAGAAGATAAATAGCTAATACCTAAAAATTGAGCTTTACAAACTAACAAAAGATGAATGCAGCACAAATAAAGTAAATCACTACCTAAGAAAAGGTCTGCAGATTCATACGCTTACTAAAGTAGAAAAAGCCAAGAAAAAGGAAAAAAACTTTAACCAGCCAATAAAATGAATATGCTATATGAAGTTAAGGAAACATAATAAACAAGAACTATATATTTTAAAAGCATTAGTTGAAGCTTAACATGAAGTATACCTTGAAAACGGGAGGTTCTACATCCTCAATTAAAATCTTCTCTACATTTGGATTCCCAATTAGCCCAAAAAAATGTGCTTTAAACACTGGAGAACGAGCAGCAAGAATAAGTTTGTGAGCTTTAAATGTTTCATCACCAACTTCAAAAATGATATCTGAGCCAAGGCCAGATAGAAGTAGCGCCTTAAGAGAATATCCCATATCTGATGGTGGAACAGGAATTGTGAGCTGCTTCACCGTAACAAGCTGGTTCCTGACAACCCCGACGGTGCATTGCATGATCAGACAATCATCTTTAAGATAATCTGATGCCTCCAAGGATGTTCTTCTATAAAATCTTTTGTAACCCCTGATGACATGTCAAGAATAGGCTGAAAATGTCACTAAATCAAAAGCAAAAGACCATTTTATAAGAGCAACAACAGAACAATATATATAACTTAAGATCATCTCAGTACAATCTATAAAAACAACAAAAAAATTGTAGCATTAAGAAGTGACTTCTCTTCTGTACATATTTTTGGAAGGGTGATGAGGACCAATCTTTTTTATCACGAATGAAAATAAAAAACAGCAAAATTCGCAAACATAACACGAGAACAAAATCCATTAAGTAGCAAAACAGGACATACAGAAATAAAAAACATAGGACTTAGCATTGAAAGTAAACAGCAGAAAAGTTACAACAGCAATGAAAAAAACAATGCATCGAGAGGAACAGGGATGGCTCAAACATTGTGATGATCGAGACAAGTGCCAGCAGAAATAAGGAGATATTCAATCTATCTCCTGACCAAGATGAAGATTGGCAGCTCAGCCTAATTGAAAAGCCCTATGGCTTCTTCTTCATGCCTTTATTTCACTTCATTAGCCAGATGGAATCATCCAACAGGTCAAAGCCATCCATCCAGAAGTATTCTGAGATGTGCCATCTTGATCTTCCTCATCATCATCCAACATTATAGGACTTCTAAAACTGAAGCCTACAAGAACAATTATGAAGGTATACCTCTAGGGAAAAGAATTTATGACCAGAATAAAATGGAGTAAGAAATTTAACACCATGTGATCATCGGAGAAGAAGATTTGCTTGAATAATCTACAACTTTCCTTCAATCAGACATGTATGAAGAGGGAAAAAGCAGCAATATTCTAGATTTCTTCAAGCTTGAATACATGCACTATTTCACATGTCAGACATCCTCAATTATTTAAGGATGATCATATTACTACAAATTTTACCTAAGGTTTCCCAAATATTGTGTGTGAGGACAAGTAAAAAAGATATTTCATAATGAAAATAGCAATTTCATATCCCAATCCAAAACTCCCCTATAGATTTTGTATTCATTAATATGCCCATTATTAGTAGGTAAACAGATGAAAAAAAAATTCTAGAAGCTTGCATCCAACCTTTCTTGCAGAAATTATTTACATTAAGATGTTCACTATTAAAAGGTAACCATTAAGATGTCCATTATTAAAGGAACACCGGATGAACTTTAACTTTTGCATTCAAATTCATAAGAAACAATGATATTTTGACTTAGAAACTCCATAATTTTGCAGATTATACTAATAATTGGCAGTAAACCTGCCATTTCCTTGAATCTCTGAACTGTTTTGTTATTGAAAGCAGTACCAAGATATTAGATAAGATGGGACGGAAAGCTTCTCACTCATTAACAAAAGGAGGATCATTAGTAATGGTTACATTAGGATGAAAGTTGATAAAAATTTTTCAAGATTTACATTTTAGTCAGAGTAGATTTAGCTAACATTTATAACCGAAAAAATATGCCACATGAACAGCTTTCCCCCAATTAAAAAAATGAACAGCTTTCCCCCAATTAAAAAAAAAAAAAAACTTACTTCAAGTAATGAGAGGTTCTGGCATCCTTTAGACTGTACACGAACAGGTTTTCATTTTCATTGATTTCTTTAAAGGTTTATGTAACCTGAAATAGTGCCATTCAAGCCCTAGAATGTAATGAAGCAGCCTAACCATTGCATTTGTATAAAGACTTCCTTTGAAGTGCCTTCTAATTTATCATTTGAGAGTAGGACAACATCTCAAAGCTGCATTTCTTATATCTCCCTTCTTATGCATGATAAATCCAAAAGATTAGAAGCATCACACCTAATTATCATTTTAGCTTCTAAAAATATTGACTAATAATTCACAATATTAAAACCGTAAAATTGCATATTATCTACCCAACATTTATTCTACTAATCCTAAATCATTTCTTTTATCAACACTTTTATCATTATTTTAAGTTTCAATTTTTCACTAGAAGTCTCACAAGTAAAAACTATGTCATTTGCAAAAAGTATACACTAAAACATGTCACCTTAAAGGCAAGAGAAATATTAAAAAAAAATCTATGTTTTGATTCCCCAAATCAAGACAATGGAATACTATACCACATGCACACATGCTGGCATCTCCTAAGCTTTGTGCTTGTTAAAGTTAGCCCCACGCTAGTCCCTAGCTCCCTTAAGTTCTCTTGTCACATTTTAGTCATTACTTGACAGCAAAAGAATCTACCTTGATATTATGTAAAATCCCTAAACAAATCACAAATGACCAAGCAATGCGACCATGAAAATTATTGTTGAAATGCCATCAAAATCTCCAAATAGCGATTGCATTATCTTCCTTGAACATATGACTCAAAGGAACCCATAAAAAACTTCCTTGAATGCTTAAGGATAGAAAACGGCTTTAAAGTCTCCAAAATTTCCTTGAAAGATTTGAAGGAAATATATTTAGAAGAATTATTCCCTTATTATACCTTATACCTATAAAAAGTGATAGGAAACTTCTCATAAATACAAAGGATCTTCTTCACAACAACAAAAAAATAAGGGGGGGAAACTAATAGTAAAACACCTCTTACGTGTTATAAATAAAAATGTCAAGGCCATACCAGAATTAAAACACTAGTAGAAAAACTAACAGAAGTAAACGCACCACATGCTCCCCCGATACTTGAGAGTGTAAGGGCCGCCCTCCAGCGCCCGATCAAAGTGGCTATGCACCTTGTGATTCCCTTTGCCGCTCTGATCAAGTAATGTGAGCTCGAACAATGCCCTTACGTCTGTTCCCTCGCTGGCAAGCGCAATAAAAACCGAAATATAGAGCGAATTGTCCTCGAGATTCTTCCCGTCTGGATAGAAGTATACAGCCCACTGGTACCCCCCCACCGTAAAAGTATCGCTTGTCATGTACTTCCCTGGCCCCATCCCCTTCGCCAGAGAATACCCCTTGATAACATACCGATGCGAACCATTCACCGATTCGCACACCGACTTGGACCGCGAGACGTTGTCTCCTCCCACGCCTCCAAGCTCTTCCCCTGCCTTTTCCATCTCATCGAAAGTATCTCCAGCGAAAACTAGCTACAATTCGAGCTCTAGAGATCTTATCCAATAGAATCTGGAAGGCATGCGTTTCTAGAATTCCTCAGCCGAGACGCACAGCCTTCGTTCGACGCTGAACTTCACTGCCACAATCGAGCTCCAAGCCGGATGATCCAAATTTTCTCCGTTGACGAGGAAAAAAATACCTTCCAAAATTTTTACCAAACCCTAGACCTAGGACCAACCATTTCTATCAAGATATATGATTCGAATTGCCGAATAGCGAACGCGCCAAGATCAAAAGGCGGCGATGTAGTTACGAGATCAGTGACCAGAATCTTCCCGGAATTGACGATGGCGCCCTTCAGGCAAAGCGAAGAAAGAGGGGAATGGGAGGAGAAGCCGGCGTTGGCCGGTGTTTAAAGATGTGCTTCGAATGCCGATAATAATGAATGAATTCAAAATTTTTGAAATTGTTACTGTATTTTTTTCAAATTCCTTTTAAATATTATTTTTTAAAAAAGTAAATTAGTTTTAAAAAAAATCGGCCAAATTATAAGAAGAAACGCTTTAATAAATCCAATTAGTATAAGAAATATGAATATATTTAAAAAAAAAAAAAGAAGAGGAGATGCACCTGAAGGTAATAGTATTATCCTAATTTTTTTAAGTAGTTATTATATTTATTTAGTTTTATCTTGTATCAATTTATTTCACATTTAATATATTGTTATGTTGTTTTTTTCTTAAAATTATTTGTTACAAAATACTGAAATGTTGCCCTTTACCTAAATATTTTTAATCAACATCATTATTTTTTAGTACTATATTATTATAATGCACATGTTTTAAGTTATGTATGAAATACTGCTTTTTTCTTTGGATAAATTTTTATACCGCATCGATATGATGCCTATAAATTTCTTAATTTCTTTTAATTATTTATGTTATGTTGAAATGTTGTTCGTAATATATTTGAATTATTAATGATGCATCGAAATGTTGAGACAGTCACATAGCGAGAATGAGATGAATTGGTGTTCGTGTAGTCAGGATCCTATCTTACACGTCATTATTAGCTAGCTCCAAATAATTTAGTTTTTTTATGAAATTAATTTAAAGCTCAATGTTGTTTTTTTTTATTTATTTTTATCGTGCAATACTTGTCACATTCATTCCATCCTTATATTAGTAGACATGTTAAGACAATCACGTAGCAAAGTCGCAGAGTATGCACCTAGCTAGATGCTAATACAGACGTATATGAAACAATGAATAGTGGCGCCAGTGACAACTCGAGCTGCCTAGAGACAAACAAGGACTACAGTGTGCGGGATGGTGAGCTAAATACTGTTTTACAAGGACGTGATTTATTGCGTCAATACGCAATGTTAAAATCCATGGTACAGAATAATCAATTAGTGACACCAATTCGAACTACAAAAGAATGGGATGCAGTTGATGATTGGGATGCTCCCATAATTCAAGTGCCCTTACATGGAGTTATTTCATTCTAAATATATTAGATAAGGGAATGATATTTTCAAGTAATGATGCACTTCAATGTGCCCTGAATGGATGGTCGATAACCAATAATGTATAGTACATCGAAACAACTTCAAATAAAATTAGACTTACAGTTCATTGTGTAAATTCTAATCATGAATCGCGTTCGTCTCAGTGGCGTCTATGTGCTACAATAAGTCAACGATTAGGATATGTGTGGAAAGTATTACCACTTGGATTAGACCATACATGTAGTCATCCAATATGTCAACTGGACATCGAAACTGCACTTTAAAGTTCATTTGTCACTATGTTGGTTCAGTTTTAAGGCAATAACTTGACCTATAGCCCATGCTACATCAAATTATGCCACAATTTTATAATTGTACTGGTCAAGAGGTGCTGCCCCATGACCAATAAATTTCATGCACTTGTTGGTAAGATAAATTTAATTTAATATTTATATACAAGTTAAAAAATATTTTTACTTTTCTTATTCATACAGTGTAAAAATCTATAAGGTGAGATCATAAGAACTCTACAAAACATTCAGGTACTCATCGGTATAAAGATGGATGAAAATGTCGTAGTGAGGCTGAATGTTGTGCTGGCCAAGTTGACTGGCAAGCTGCGATGACTTGTTGGGTGACCATCCTAGGGATGTCGTTGAATATCACCATCCCAAACACCATAACATTACATCGAAATTCTATAAGGGGCGGTCTCATGCATAGGCTATGGTGCCACAACGTTGGTTGTACTAGTAATGGTGTATAGATTCTTGTATCAATTTACCACCACGTGAATATGTATGTCATTTTAAGGCCTACATCTTATTATTGATCAAATGTTTGCTAGTTTCAGATAGCTCTAGATCACAAGTATGCATAAAATGTTTACCATTATTAGAAGATATGGATGAATTTAAACAATATTCTTTAGATGGCGCGATTCTACAATTCCTTTATAGAGAATTGAATATGGTTATCAAGCCTTCCCATGCCACGATCAGTGGATGTCGGCATTTGCTTCAAATTTGGGCATGAGAACATTGACATGCTAGTAGACCAACTCTTCATGTTCCAATTCGTCAGAAAATAATAAGCAACTCCCTTGGGTTAAGGTACAAAATTATTTACTCACTTTAAAGTTAAACAAAGTAATTTATTAATTACATTAAATTTTTTCTCATTATTATAAATACAATACAGGTGGAACGAAGAGTGGATACCCGGCGTCCTGATCCTAAATATCATGATGTATAAAGATGAGATTGATGGATTTAGATAAAGTCAGGAATACTAATCATTTTTTAATTAATTTCATAATGTTGACTTAACTATACATGTTATTTAAATTTAATTTATAATCTCATCTACGGGTTATCTGGACACTATATATGGATGTAAATATTACATTATTACATAACTTTTAATTTGGGATAATGAACCTTTGGACTGCACACGTTCCACTAATAAATTGGAAGTATGTTGAGTGACATCTTTAGATCACGTTATGCGTCAGTTCTCAAGCACCCAGTCAATAACCATTGAACTTATCGAAAAGGTTTTTAGAGAGTCAATGGGCGAGATAAAGTATAACTTAATTGAGAACAAGATCATAGTAAATATATTGAGATATGAAATAATCGTCGGGCATTTATTGTGCAAATAAATCTAGGAGAAGGAGAAGGAGATGAAAAATTATATAATTATTTGTAGTGGTATTAGTCTTGTGCTTCCTCTACTTAACGTAACCTAACTCAACCTCCTAAAACTTATTACACACAATCACTAGAAGAGAAAATAGTGGTAATTTTTACGTTTTTTCACTCCTTTATCGCTACTACTATTTTTTTTAATTGCAATGCTCAATAAGAATCCAAAATTACGAATCATACTATTGGATTTCCTTATTCGTATTAAAAACATCGCCGAAAGATATGAAAAGATCGTGGAGCGAGAGCTAGTTCCATAAAACAAGGTTACAACAAAATTCTGGAGCTAACGTGCAGAATGGAAGAATCAGTGCACACTGATTATACATCATTTGATTCGTTTAGTCAACATGATTTTGAGGCAAGGTCGTCTCACAGCACATCAGTTGCGATGAAATTGATGAAGAACTTTAAAAACATAAGTTGCGTCATCGACCATTACAACCGCCGTCTCGATATGCACCCGGCTCAGGCGCTATTCCACCCTGACATACAAGACGAAAGCATCTTTTTCAATTTGTTTAGTTAATTTAATTTGTTTCATTTTGTAAAAATTTAAGTTTCAAATAAATTTTACAAATTTCAAAGTTTTTTTATTTATTTATTTATTTAATTTTTGATTTTTTTAATACAAAAATTAATTACAATTTATTATTTAATGTAAAAAAATTTTAATGTCTTTTTAATGTATATAATAAATAATCATAATATTTATAATGTTATTTAATATATAATAAATATTAAATAAATAAATAAAAAGTTGTGGTGTTTCAACTGTTAATTCCCCTTTTTAACGAGCTCTTTCCTATTATTTACATTTCTCAACCCCCAAAATTTTAATTTCAGAAAGAAACACTTCCGTTCACAAGTCCGTCACCTACTCTCGCGAGCTCATCTCTCCCGCACTCGGCTGCACTCCTTTCCCAGTGACATCTTCTTCTCTGTTCTCTCCCCCTAACTATATTCTCTCTTCAGCCTAATTAATCTACAAAGATCTTTTCAACTTTAACTCTGCGCGGAAACCGAGTTCTTCATCTGGAGGAGGAGCATTAGGAGTAAGATGAAGCAACACTCGGAGAAGGTGCCCAACCCCATGATTTAGGGTATGTTTGGGGCAGTTGCAGCTTATCCAACTTATTCAGATAAGCTGCTGATCTAGATAAGGTATCGATCAACAGCTGATCCAGATAAACTAGCTAGTTGTTTGGTTTGTGTGTTTTAAAAAAAAACTGATTTACAGTTTTTTTTTTTAAATAAATGACCATTTTACCCCTGTGCAGTTGTGTTATTTGCAACAGAACCGTCATGATTATATATTTGATAGTTTAAAACAAAAAGGACTACTTCATAACAGTAAAAAAAAAAATTGATATGCACCTCACTTAAGAGTGAGTACTAAGAAACCTAAAAAAAGAAATCATAAATAGTAAGAAACTTGCTTATAATACCTAATGAGTCAAGTTTTCATAGTTTGCATTGATTAGAAGATTATATGTGATATGATAGTAATAAAGATGCAAAAAGCACCGACCATTCCTGATCAAACTGCTAGGTGTGAATGTAAAAGATTCTAAATACCATATTCGATTTAAAAAAAAAATGTAAGAGATTCTAAATACCATATTCGATTTACAAAATTAATTTTTAAATCGATTAGCGGAAACAAGATAGGATCATACATACCTCCAGCCATAACTTAAACGAACAGAGTCGACACTCACAACTCACACGACAAATTTTCTGTTATAGATCTTCTAAGCTTTTCTCACCCACAACCCGATGGTGCAAATGAAGAGGAGCAAGCTTAGGGACCAAAACAGCAAGCATCACATCTAATTTATAGTACTCTGCCCATCACAGAGTTCAATGGATGTGACCACATTATGAAATGTTACTAAATTCATGTGTTGAACTTAAACACTATATGAACCACATTCTGAAAATTATTTCTCTTAAAAACACCAAAGAATTCCAACGGTTATTGAAATTAATTTGAGAATTTCAATGGGTATTGAAATTAATTTGGGATTTCCAAAGGGTATTGAAATTAATTTGGAATTCCAAAGGGTAT